TTTTGGTTTTTCTCCGGTACCGGGAACCGAACTCACGACCTTGCGCTTGCCAGGCAGGCGCTTTTGCCGCTGAGCTAAATCCCCAGCCCCCAACAGGTAATATTTCTGAAGAAATCAAAGCTTTCAAATTTGCGTATATAGAGAAATCACGTGAATTTAAAATATGTTGCCTAAAGAGACCACAAGGGCCTGACAAGACTGTATTCAAGGCAGCACCATAGGTGGTTCAGTTTTTCACCATGGAGGCTGCCGCAGAGGTTACTGGTTTGGGACAGTAGCTCTCCACCATTCACGAAAGATGCCCACATATTTCCAAATGCCCTTGGGGATATACTGTCCAGCTGAAAGCCATCAGGTGTCTTGTTTAGAGAAGAAACCATGGCCCAGACAAAAGGACTTGGCCACGTTTAAGTCCCTGGACAGTGAGTGCCACAACTCAAACACAGGCCTCCGGGAAACAGTGGCACTGAGAAGCCAGCAGAGAATGTCAAAGTAGTGAACATCCTGTGATTTGATCTTCAGCTCTGGCTTACTCTTCCTGCTTTAGGTAATTTATTTTATCAAATACTTCCTAGCTGGGTGAGGTGGTAGAGGCCTGTAATCCCAGCGCTCTGGAAAGCTGGGCCAGGAGGAAGGCAAGTTCGAGCCCAGCCTAGGCAACTTAGAGAGACCCTGTCTCAAAATTTAAAAAGGCTGGGGATATGGCTAAATGGGAAGGCCCTGGGGTCAGTACTCAGCACCAAAAAGGAGAAAACAAAACTAAAATCCTCTTTAATCTTAAACCAGCCATCATTTTAACTCCTTGCCAATTCCCCTGTCCCCTTTCCTCACTTCCCTCTCTGATCTCAGACTTGGATCTGCCCTTCGTCGTACCCCATGCATGTGGCTTCTGCTTCCTGAGCACAGGCGAGAGGGGTCATGGGAAACCTGAGCTCCAGCTGTGCAACCACGGTGGACAGAGAAGCTTTCCACATCACTGTCGCCTCCGGCTCCATTCGCTCACGTTTTGCCCTCTCCACAGGGCACTGCCCGTTTGGCAGGTGGCCTCGTCTGTATCACAGAGGAAAGAGAGGCCTCCCCTTCCGCCTTTCCACCAACTAACTACCTTAGTCACTGGACTTGACCAGTCTGCTCTAAAACATGAGAAGTGTTTCTCTCTCCCTTTCCGCTTCCTCTTTGTTTATCTGATTGAATCTGCAGAATCAGATTGAAGAGAAGCAATGGACAGCAAAAGCCTCTTCCCAACTTTAGGAATAGACTAAAGGGGTCCCCGCTACATTTGAGTCATGGAGACTCTTGATAAAGAGTTCATTTCTGTTCTTTGTTATTTAAGTCTTTCTTATAATTCAATATTGAGTATACAAAATGTTTTTCCAGTCTTAATTTTACCTGTATAAATGGAAAAAATTTTAAAGGTTAAAAAAATCCCTGATTTCAGTCCCCCTGATCAATGTCTTTTAATTTTAATGTTTTGTTTACTGAGTGATGAATGCCAAAACACTAAAGCTATTTGTCTAAAGGTAACCCCTCTGTATTTGAAAGTTTGCAATTGGAATTCAGTAGGAAGCTTAAGGATGTGAACGTGGCCTGCAGGCTTACCCGGATGTAGGCATCCTGGTGGTGCTTGGCAAAGTACAGCATGTTGTCCAGAGCCAACATTCCGGGAGGAGTCTGGGTGAAGTCCATAGCGGGGTTGACATGATTCTGGGGTGAAAACAAAAGATTCCAGGAGGTTAGTTCTTCAACAGTCTTCACCTATCCCCAGGGACTGTTTTTTTTCCTCAAGATAGAAGTACTACAAGGCAAACTCCAAATAACCAAATCTGATGAGCTTTTCTGTATCCATAGAAATGACTGGAAGTAGAAGAAAGACATCCCTCAGCCTTACAGGTTCTGCAAAAACCAGCTTTAATGCCAGGTTTGGGAGGCCCAGGGGAAGACTAGCAAAGTAGGATAATTCTTAGACATGTCACATTGTGAGACTATGAAAATAACAAAGAAATTGTATTTCTGGTGCCTCAGTGAAACAAAATTGACAGTATCTGGCATGAGAAACTGGGACAAAGCCACATCTCTGCCATTTGTCTCTGGTACAGACTCCAGGATGCCTTATCTACCCCCTGCGTTCTTTGTCCTCATGTGTGAGGTGAAGTATGGCCTTGCTTGCTAAGGAGAGTTGAGAACTTGGGCAGATTACACCACCCGCAGCGTCTAAGCAAAGACAGTGGATAGAATTCAGGTGTCCACAGGGTCCTGACATCTCCCTGCTGTCAAGGGGCATGCCTGCCATCACAGCCCCCATATTTGGCACAATGGAATATGTGACATGTGTCTAATTAGGAGCAGGCCTGGCAGAACCCAGTTCTCTATGTGCATGAGATCATCCACTGAGCCTCACAGGGACCCTTATTCAAATAGCAAGCTCCAGTGCAACATTCACCCCTGAAAATGCACATCATAAACCACCCTGAAAATGCAAATCTAAACAGTGAATGATTAAAGGAAAGGCAAGCTTTTTTTCCATGTCAAATAGATGAAAAGAAAGTAAAAGACAATTTGTTGTTGCAGTATAGAAATACTACTGAAATGTGCATGTTGGTTTTGTATTCTTCAACCTTTTGGAATTCATTTAGTACTTCTCTAATGGTATTTGGATGAAGCTGTTAAAGCTTTCTATACATAAAATCGTGTCATCTGCAAACAAGAACAACTTGATTTCCTTCACCCTAATTTGTATAGTTTTGATTTCTTTCTCTTGCTGAATAGCTCTAGCTAGTACTTCCAGTACCACACTGAATAGAAGCTATGAAAACAGGCATCTCGTGTCACCACAAAAATGGCACTCCATGGAATAACGCAATTGTTAATTAACTATGTTTAACTATCCCATAATGTGTACATATTTCAAAACACCATGTTCTACAAGAGAGACATCACACAAGGTTAATCTGTCAGTAAAAAATAAATAAATAAATAAATAAATGGATAAATGTGCTAAGTACTAAAGAAAGCTGTTTTTACCTCATGACGCACATAATTTACATGAAACGATATAGTTTCATTTTGATCCCAAATATTTTAATAAAATCCTTGGATCTCTTGTTTGTTAGGTAAGTTTTGGTTAACAGTAATTTTTTTCTAATTCTGATACAGTAAGGAACACCTTTTTATTCACTTCACCAAGGTTGAAACTGCCCACACTTTTCTACATTATTTAAGCGTACATCTGAACTGTCTTTCCCACACTGATTTGAAATTTTGTTTATAAGCTAATAAATACCAGGAACCATGAGGACTGTGCTGTCAAGGGGCACAGCTCTGGGTTCAAGAGCACCCCTGTTCACCACATCCATCCAACACTGTGGCACTGCAATGATTTCAACACTTTATTTTAATATTTTACGCCAATTCATTTGTTAAAATGTTGGGAAATTTAAAAAATGCCAAAGTACTACTATCAGTCATAAAGATATATCCCATAAAATAGATATAATTGTAACAAAGAATGAAAACCATTCAGTATGTCAAAGGCAGTGCAGTTCAATCTTAATGTGACATTACGGGAGGAAGAGGGTCCCATTCATATTCAGTAGTAGGTAAAAGGGAAAATAAAATACTGGAAATAAAGAACATAGTATTAAGTCTAAAAAATAACGTATGTAAAGATTTTATATGTTAGTTATTTAACTGAGAATAAAGGAAATGAATTGTACATAAGTTGGTTACTCTGGTACATTAGATCTTCACGAACATTAGTGACATATAAAAGGTTGCTATTTGCTGAGGCCTTTCTGGGTGCAGCATTATTTTGCACTTGCCATATATTAAATTTCATAACACCTTGATCCAGTATTACTGCTAATATTCCCCTTGTACTGATGAAGAAACAGAGCCATTTTAGACACCTTTTCCCAGCACCTCACACCCGGCACTGGCTGAGCAGGCAATGTCTTCTTTGGATAGTGTATCTCACCAATTTTTTATCCCTATGGTTTTCCTTCCAACCAGGTTAGCAACTGAATGCATTTTATTTTGGTGCGGCTTGCATTTAGACTTTACATAGCCTGATAAGTTTATTTGGCAGACAATTAGACTCATCAATATTAGCCGTCATACAGCCTGAGCCCGCCAACAAAGGAGAGTGAGCCAGATGTCAAAAGGAAAAACATAACATTTATTTCAGACCTAGTTCTAGGATTGGCCTATGAGCCTATTCTAAAAATAAATACATGAAAAAGAACAGCAAGTAAACAAATTAAGTTTTTAAAATTTAACTCCATCCCCTCCCTAAATTATGTGTTAGTGAAACTGACCAGATGGGAGATCCTTGTGACTCAAGAATCATGATGTTTGTTTAAATTTTGCACCCACAATCCCCTGGAAGCTTCTTCAATCAATCACACTCTTCCTCAGGCACGTGGAGGTACCAAATAGGACATTATTGCACTCAAACAGTCCTTACAGATAAAAATAATAATAATATGCACTTGTAACTTGGTTTCCAGGGCTGTCTGTGGGTCCCAAAATCTGGGGATACTAGTAAGTCTCTTCTGTATACTGGATCAGTATTTGCACTTGGCCTGTGCATATCTACTATATACTATAAATCAATTACTGTACCTAATGCAATGTAAACTATGTAGTGGAGATAGCGGTCATACTGCATGGTTTGGGAAGAATAACTAGCAACAAGTTTGCACATGATCAATAGGTGTGGAGTATTTATAAATATTTTCAGTCCACAGTGGATTAAATCTGTGGGTGAGAAATCCATGGATGAGGGGGCTAGGGCTATAGTTTATTGCTAGAGTTCTTCTAAAGAATCAGACAGCTAATTATTCCATCACCTTGATGAAATACCAGGTACTATATGGCAGGCATTGTGCAAATTCTTACATGTATGCAAGCTCTTAATCTTCATAAGACCCTCACAAGGTCAATGCTATCATTATCTTCCTTTGACAAGAGGGAAACTGAGGCAAGGAGAGTTTGCCAGCTTCTCCAGCATTTCAGAGCCATTAGCTAGCAAACTGAGAGCGTGGATTTAGAGGTGGAGGTCGGTAGTGTTCGCTGACCAATCTAAATGCAGCAGATTTGACAAAGACATCCAGTGTGCTTCGCCAGTTGTCAGTCCTCCTCAATCAACATTGCTCCCTCAGGCAGAATGGGCCTGTGATCCATTCTCTTTAATAAAAGCTATAATTTCTCTACCCCTCCCAGACATTATAACAGACTAAAGTCTCACTTTTGTTCAATGAACCGTGCCCTAATTGTCTCCAACAAATAGGTTCATACTAAACAAAAGCCAATTAGAAAACTGCTTTTGATTTTCAATGATTTGCTCAAAATTGAGGCATAATTATGCTTTAGATGAAAAAAAATTCTGTAGTTGAAGGTTCATTATGTCTCTTTTTTCTTTCTTTTTTTTCTCTCTCTCTTTCTCTCTATTCCCCTCCCGTTATCCTTCCCTCCATTTCTCTATCCTTTTGACTCTAGCTATCACTTTGCTAGCCTCTCTTTCCTTGAAATGATCGTTTTGTTTCCTTTTCTTGATTTTAATAGCCAGTGAAATAATTTTACAGCCGTGAGTTTTTGATACTGGGGAAAAGAAAAGAATTACAGGCCACAATATGTATAGACTTTCTGTACTGTGACAAAAATACTCCGAGAAGCTAGCAAGGCCGAGAGCTCCCCCCACCTTTCTTATTTATGAGATGCTCTGGGTACAGATTTATTTTCATTTCTTGTTCCATGTTATTTTTTTCCACCTATCATGAAATGGGAGCTGCAAGAGCTTTGATAAATGGCTTGAAATTTCCCTTGTTTTACTGCAAAGCCAGTGTACCTCTGTACATCCTTCTGAAACGTCATTTGTTAGTTCCCACAGAAGTGCTGCTCCGTGAATCACAGCAGACAGTTCTCAGCCCCTGGAGAAAGGGGAATGGCTGCTTCTTTTTCCAAAGCACCAAAGTTTGTCACTTGAAGAATGTGGCTCCCACCAGCTGGAGACACCATGAGTTATTTTATAGCGGGCACCCTATGTGCAGTTTGCTATCTACGTCCTGGAAATCGGTTTCTCTTCTGCTACCCACTGGCCAGTTTTATTTTTTGGGGCTAAATTATTTCAACCATACATCAAGGGAGGGTTTTAAGCTTTAAGACAGAAAATCTCTATGTCTGTTCTGGGCCACATACCATTGAGGAGAGAAGGGTGGACTGTAAATATAATCCATGCTGCCCCCTTACTTTATAGATGAGGAAACCACATTTCCGGCGGAGAAGAATGATATTCAAACTTGTGTGGGCATCCACCTCCTGGCGAGGGCACAGTCGTGCAACAACTGCTGGCAACCATCCCAGAGTCTCTGATTGGTTATGCTGGGGGTGGGGCCCATAGATTTGCATCTCAACTAAATCCCCAAGTGATGCAGTTCTTGTGGTAGGTGACCACACTTTGAGACCCATTGGAGGACAGAATGATGCATTACAAATCACATCACAAGAAGATCCAGAACCCAGATCCAACAATTCCCTGAAACCCACATGGTACCCATTCCACCATGGTTTAACTCACTAGGTTAAATATTAAGTACACTTGCTATTCATCTGCGTGGTGTGCAGACATCTCATCCATGAAACAAATTTCTTTATCCCAAAAAGGGAATTATAATTTAGAAGCCTCTCACTTATTCTATTGCTCAAAT